TTTATGTAGAGCAAAGTCCTGAGAGGTAGGATAAAAATTTCTCAGATGAAGGGAAAGAGGCAGTACCAGGAGAGGAGAAGAGAAACAGGAGGCCAGAAGCACTCCCAACCCTAGACCTCACAAATATGACAGCTTTGCAAGAGCTGATCTTAGAGCAAATTCAAATCAAGGTCTCACTCAGGTAATACACTTAAAAATACCTACTATTTATTAAATATTTATTATGGACCAGATCCATATATTATCATATATAATACATATTATGGACCAGATCCCTACGTTATCATATATTACATATATCTTTCTACAAGGAAGATTTTGTTCCCATTTATAGATGAGGAAACTAAGCCTCAGAGAGGTGAAGTGACTTCCCAGTGTCACACAACAAGTAAAAGGTAGAAACCAGGCTCTGTTCCAAATTCTATTTGTCTCACTCCAAAGCCTATGTTCTTAATGGCTCCAGCTGTGGTTCTCAGCCTTCTGTAAGCACCAGAATCACCCAGGGAGCTCTAAAAAGCTCTTCTCTTGGTCTCACTTGCTGAGATTCCAAATCAGTTGGTCTCAGGTGGAGCCCAGGAATCCAGGTGAGGCAGTTTTCAGATAGGTTTAGAATCTAACCCAGGGTATCTCCTGGGGATCTTGCTAAAAATGCGGGTTCTAATGCAATAGGCAGTTTTAACAAGCCCCTAACATGCCAGTGCTGCTGGTCCTTGGCCCACGGTTTGAGCAGGAAGGAGCTAAACGTCTGAGCTCCCTGTAATCCAGTGGTCCTCAGCCTTGGCAGCACATTAGAAATGCATGGGGAGTGTTTGAAAAATCCCCGTTGCTCAGCCTCCACCTCTGTGGGGATGGGATAGGGGCATCAGTTTTTAGTAAAGCTCCCAAACTGGATCTTCTGTTTAGGGTCCAGAGTTTCTCAATGTATGTTCTCAAATCACCTGCTTTTGGATAACCTGGAGACCTGTTTAAAATGCAGATTTTTGGCAGCTTCTCAGAAAGTGAATCAAGTGCTCAAGAACAGTTTTGAACCCTTGTCAAAACTCATTTTTTTGTTGTTGTTCTTTCAACAAAGTTGGACAGGCTAAATTCTTTACCTACATCTAATATCTAATTTTCCTATTATCCCTGCCCCCTTCCCAGCTGCTGGGCTCCCTGGAATTTGTACTGGTTTTGTCCTCCCACCTTCAGTCAAACTTTGCTGTCTGACTTTTAGGTGCCCTGGACTCAGAAATTT